TATACACAGCCATCCAAGTCAGTCAAAGAACATAGAATTAAAAAACAATTATCAACACAGAAATGTCATACAGTAATCTGTTTCGAAGAAATTTATTCTGTCATTCCTTTTAAAATGTTGAAAAGCAGTGCTGATCCCCAAAGAACTATGACTGCATCAGCAAAAGTCATTTCTCTTTTGAGTTGAAGAAAATATTCCCTTCAACTAATGATTCATTAGCACATTCCTCAGTCTTAAAATCCCAGAGGAACATTCCTCCGTTCTTCTGTGTGAGGCAGCGGTGGTCCCCGAGGGGTAGCACAGACACTCCGCGCTGGTCATCAGCTCTGAAGTCCTGTTGGAGTGTCAGCCCTGAAGTGTGTGGCTAAGCTTGCCTTTGCGTTCTGCTCTGTTTCTGTGACTCTGGCTCCCCTGGCCTCTCAGTCCCATTTCGCTGTATCAGGTTCATATCTCCTCATTAGTAGTTGGCAGGAGAAACTAGGCAACACATGTCCCCGGCTTATAACAAGTTTATGAGATTGTATTTTAATCCACTTCTGGGAAAAGACAAGCAGCCAAAGATCCACATGATACATGAACAGACTAAATTTTACTTTAATTCATCTTTTTCCAATATACAAAATGCCAGGAGGCTCTAAGTATTCACTCTGGGAGTCTTTTCATTTAACACCTGTTTGCTTTTGAGGTTACAGACTGTCACTGACACCTCAGACTCTGCACTCCCATTTCTGTGTCTCAAATCCCACTTCTGTATCAGGAATGAACATACACAGATACTTTTCCATGGCTTGTCACACTGGAGATACAGACAGAGAGACCTATCTCCCGCTTTATATTAGTGGTTAATTAAAAACCAGTCTTCTCTGACTAGGAAGCTAGGAAATTCAGGTCATTGTGTACAGCTTCAAAAGTGTCATTTAACCTCCATGCATTTGTGGTTCTACTTTGGCCAATTCTAGAGAGAATTAAGAGTTCTAATGAAAATGTACATTTTGAATTTTTTTTATAAATGTAACATCATGTAATAGAGCCCTTTACTATAAAAAGTATAGCTTTTAGATATCTTTTGGGAAATTAACTGTGATTTTTAAAAAGTGGTATTAAAAAACTGGGTGCTGATGGCCCATGCCTTTAATCCCAGCACTCAGGAGGCAGAGGCAGGTTCTTCTCTGTGAGTTCAAGACCACCCTGGTATACAAAATGAGTTCCAGGACAGCCAGAGCTGTTACACAGAGAAACCCTGTCTTGAAAAACCAAAAAAATAAAATGGTATTAGAGTGAAAAGATCTGTTTATTTATTGATGATTTCATTTCTATGAAAATGCAGAAAAGGTAATTGCATTCATGACTTCCTGAGGCTGGTAGGATGGGGATGTTAGTAAATTGTCCCACAGGATCTCCTTGGTGTCATGGAAATGACCCAAACCTGGACTGTTAGCCACAATGTTGTGAATTTGCTGAAATAAATGACTGAGTTATGCACTTACAATTGAGGATGAATTTGCTGTTATGTGAACTGTGCCCTCAATACCACTGGAATAAGAGTGAGGAGCAACACAAGCAGAGGGACCTAAACAGTTGTTCTTAAACAATACAAGGCTCAGAACAACAAAGCTGTCTGTTACTGAGCTGTGCCACACTCGGGCAGAAGAAGCCTGTGAGCCCAAGGGGGCTCGCATGGCCTATTCTGGCTATTTAAGAGCCGGAATCACAGCTTCATCTTCAGCTGGGTCTGTTCTATGCATGTACAGCAATGCTGAAGACATATTTATATCTAAATTTCAAAATGTCTTCAATTTTTCCCTGAGAAGGACTAAATTTAGCAGAAGAAATGAGGCATGCACTGTTACCTCAGCCACGCACATCTAGGGAAGGGAGGCTGGTGTGATGCGTCCGTTTCCTCACCTTTAAGGCGCTAACAAAAGTAACACAGTCTCAACACAGTGGCCACAGAAACAGAAACAGTCAGAAAACAACAGGTAGGGAGGACTGATTTAGTGTGTTCCTGCGGGCTAGGCACTGAGGAGTGCTCAGCAAAACAGGCTTGTTTAATTTAAACACCAGCTTCTGAGGCAAGGGCTAACTCATTTTAGTGTAAAGGAGACTAATACAAAGTGTAACTTACCAGAGTCGCACTGCAAGTCAATGGCAGAGCCAGCACCTGAAATCAGATCTGTCTGTGCATTATACACCCAGTAAGAACATGGACACCGCAGGAAGCCAACCCAAGTCTAACTTTAGGTGTCTTATGCTGTCTGCGCATACATGGATGCTTAGTGCCCACACTGATAAAAACAAGGGTCATAATGTTACCTGTACATTATTCAATCTTTATTATTTTTCAATTAGCATGCAGATTAATGAGCTTCACATTTATTACAGCATATTTACTCAAGCTTTGCCCTTGCTGGTCCTGCTTCCCTTCTCCTCTCTCTGTCCTTGCCCAGCTCTTGCTGGCCACTTCCCTTCCCATTAACCCTCTTCTGAACTCTTGTCACATGCATTCTGTTCCCTTCCTCTCCTTCCCTCGGGGTCTCTTTGTTCCCTGCCATAGTTCCCTTCCCAGCTCCATGACCTACACCCATACCCACCTTCCACAACTTTTAGAGGATTATATAAGATAAGGAGTACAAAACCCCCAGTATTAGGCCTCTGAATGAGAGCAAGCGTTTTTGTAGTAGGAGTCGCTGCTGTGCTTTCAACCTTATTATTCCCCAGATTTATCATGAGGCAAGATGTGAGCAGAGAGCTTCAGCTCTGACAGGCTGGAGGTCATGACTCAGGTGCCTGCAGGACAGAGCTGGCTCAGGGCTCTGCTGTCTTCTTTGGGTCTTTCCATTTTAAGTACAACCTCATTTTCTTGCCAATGTATTTCAGAAGTTATGTTTTTGATTTGACCTAGAAATTTTATTTGCTTTCACCACAAAAAAAAAATGGATAATATATCTAGTCTGTCATTCTACTGGCAAAATATTTCTCAGTGAGAGAAAGACACACATGTACCCACACAAACACACACGGGGGGTCAGGGAGAGGGAGTGAGGAGAGAGAGAGAAGAGAGATTTTTCTTTTCGTGGTATAGAGGTTCATTCTGAAAATAGAAGACTTCATTAGACCGTCTTTCTCCTCTTATGTTTCAGTATGACTGATCTACCCTCAGGATTGTGCTGAAGATGAAGGCAGGCTCAGTACCTCTAGGAATGCTAATGACACACTAGAAGTTGTCGCTCGTGGCCCTGTTTAAGGAGCAGCTGCAAGTCAAGCTATTGGTTGAGTAGCATGAGAGTCTCAGGAAGTCTGTTTGGGTTGATGTCAATTTAAAATTTATGCTGCAAAAACAGAAAATAACACCCATCATAAAGAAATCTGTACTACTCACCACCAGGCTCCGTGGAGGAACTCGAAGGACTAATGGGTTGAAATAATGTCAAGTTGCACACAGGAATAGCAGCAAGTGTTTGGTCATCCTGATGTATCAATGGAGTGTGAGATTAATTTCTCAGATACTTCCTCTATTTTTGTAGCAAGAACCTGCAGCAGTATCCTCCTCGGCACAGTGATTGCAGTACCCAGCAGCCAAACAACCAGAACAGGCAGGCAAAGTAACCTCTCAGCAGAGTCACAACTGTTAGAAAGACGGCTCTGCTCAGTCATTCTGCAGCTGGGATATTGTTAGTAACGCCTTTTCTTAGATTCAATGGGAAAATGTCCCTCCAATTTTCTAGCTTTGTTCTTTTGGAATCTCTGATACCTAAGGTCAACTATGTTAGTTTATTGCCACAGAGACCCAACAAGTGACAACCCAGTGATGGCTGAATAGGAAAAGGCGATCTCCTGGGCTTATCCAACTAGTGAACTTTGCCACAGAATTCCGCTACTTCATCTCACTTTACAAACAAATGCATATGTTTCCAGTTAGAACATAGTATTTTTTTTTTATTTTTATATCAGCTTTGCCTTAAAACTCAAACAGAATGCTTATGGATCTTAAGGGTGAAAGTTACAATCCAACCATGCCCACTGGTCTATTTATGCTTTAGGCCTTTGTGCCACAGATTCTCTTTGCTCACTGGGCTTCACCTGCTCCTTCCCATGGCTTGCTTCCATCACTGAAGTCCTTCATTTAAAATCTGTGTCTTTAGGCCTTTTCTCATTCCCTAAATGAGCCTACCCTGTACATCATTGTGTTGACACTCATCTTTAGCTCTACTGTGCTTTTCATTCACTGGTACTTCTCTGGCTTTCAGTTTTCATTGTCTGTTGTCCAGATGTCTCTCATAACCAAAACGTAAGTTCAGAGGGTCTGGACTCTAACATTCCTGCAATTTGCTCAATTCTTTTACCATGAGAAATTATGAACACATAGAACGTGGTCAGTAGATTTGTGAAGAATCAATATGGATGAGAATTGTGTTAAAGAGTGCAACTTATTCTTTAAGTTTAATATACTTGATTTTGTAAAATAAATTTTTGATTGTCATAGTACTAAGAACCTATTTATATAGCTCTAATATCCGATATGTAGAGGTTCATATGGAGGAAGAAATAGTGGTTAGAAATACAAGCCTGGAGTTGAATGACAGCTGAGATTGAATGAGTTGAATGATAGCTGGGAGACCTGAGAAACTCAGCCTCTCTCTGTATCTCAGTTTTCTTATAAACAGATGACCATAAAAAAGATAATGAGATTGAGAGGTAAGTAAATAAATCCATATATTTTTAATGCTTAAAATCAAGTTTTCTTAGGAATGCTGGCCTGAATTGTTTATAATGTGCTGCAAAGTTACTGTGGATGTGCCATCTGCATCTAAGGCTTCTTGCTTCTCCGGATCCTGCGAAGGAGAAATAACACTGTCTTACCTGAGAGAGTCATAAGGGTGAAACATACAGCCCTTGAAATGAACATGTGCAATGCTTCCTAGCCACAGCTTCTGTTCTGCTGAGCTAAAGCACTCAAGTGACCTTATTTCTATTCCTTTCCTGTTCTTTGTTCTCACCAGACTGTGATCTTCATTCGTGACAAAAATTCTCACGGGCAAGAAGTGTCAGGATATATTGATTATGCCCACAGACTAAAAACTGAAGATTTTGAAGTTTACTTTACTGGAAAAAGAAGACTCCTTCCAAGGCCCACGGATATGAGGTAAATTGTACACAATTCTTACACCTCAGGGACAAAGACATAGAATTATTGTATATTGCATGTTGAGCCCTGTATGATAACACACAAAGGACAAGAATGTGAGCCTGGCTATGGAAAGCTGTCCGTGTCATGAATCATCTGGGAACTGCAAACCAGAACCACAGGAAGATACCACTTCACTCCAGCAAAACCGGTTATGTCGTGAATGCTGAGGAGAATGTGGAAAGAAAGGGAGCCCTCACACAGTTAGTGGGAATGTAAATTAGTGCATCCATTAGGGAAAATTGTATAAATGTTCCTTTAAAAACTAAAACTAGAGCTCCAGTGTGACCCATCAATCTTTCCAAAGGTAATGGAATCCATATAAAGAGACATCCATACACCAAAGTTTACTGTAACACTATTCACAATAATAACCAAGTGGTGAAAACAACCTAAGCATCCCTCAATAGATGAATGGATTTTTTAAAAAAAAATATTGTACATAAATCCAGTGGAATACTATACAGTCATAAAAAATATAAAATCCTTTATTCTTTTATTTTTGAGATTATAATTGCATCATTTCTTCCTTGCCTCTCCTTTCTCCAAACCTTCCCATATAGCCCTCCTTTACCAGTTCACATCTTCTTTTTTCAATAATTGTTGTTACACACATATATGCACACATATTATTTATATATTATGTACCTATATGTATACATATATATTCTTAAATATAACCTGCTCGGTCTGAATAATTTACTTGTGTATATCCATTCAGGGCTGACCATTTGGTATTGGATAACCAATTGGTGTGCCCTTCCCTGGGAAAGGCTATTGATTCCATTCTCAGTACTCCTTATTTGCCTGTAGTTCTTTGTCTGGAGTTGAAGTCTCGGGGGCATGTCTACTGGTGCTGTCCTTGTTAAGCTAGTGTTTAGGCAGTCTTGCTGGTGAGGCTGTGGTTGTAGCTTCTGACATTCATAGGACACACAATCTTATAGCAAATTTCCAGATCTTCTGGGTCTCACAATCTTTCTGCCCCTTCTTCCCCGGTGTTCAATAAGTCTTAGCCATGGGAGTTGTTTTATAGATGTATACATTGGGACTGGGCTCCACAACTCTGCATTTTGATTGGTTGTGGTTTTCTGTCTTGATCACTGTCTATTGCAAAGAGAAGTTCCCTTGATGAGGGTGGTGCATGAAGACTACACTTATCTGTAGGTAAATGGATAAATATTTAGAATGTCCTCAGGGATCATGCTGGTTTAATAAAGTGGTGGTTGTAGATTCTCCTCCAAAATTTGTGACTTTACTTGCCCTGGAAAGTTGACTAGGTTTCTAGTACCAGGTATGGTTTCCCTCTGATTGAGCAGGTGTTAAGTCTGAAAAGAGAGATATCAGTTTCTACCTGATATCATGCATATCAGGTATGCATGCCACTCCTTCACCCATAGGGTTATTGTGCTGGTCATTGATGTGGTTCATAGGCATCAGAGTTGGGTAGGGCTGTTGGTTATCTCCTTCCTTTGAAAACGTACATGAAAGCTAGTCTTCAGTGGGGAGGCATTTGGGTTAGTTCCAGCTCTGGGTCCTCTGGACCCTGTGTCTGAAATTAAGTGCAGGGTGTCTTTAGCAGTAGGGACATAACTTCCACTTCTGAGGCAACCAAGGTCAACATAAATAGTCTGTAATGTTCTGGGAGTCTCTTGGACAATCAGATCAACAACCCAAAAGAAGGCTTTGCATGCCCATTGTTGGATTGGATTTTTGTTTTGTTTTGTTTTTAATATGGTCTTTGGCTCTTGGAAGGAACATCATCAACCTAGTTGAGAAAAGTTCATCTAAATTATATGTGTGTTTACACACAAACTTAGGTGTATTATAGATTTTTAAGGAAGATGAATAAAAGTTACACATGTGTTAGGGAGACACCTCACCAGCATAGTGCTTACAGCGTGAGAATGGGAGCAGAGTTCAGATCCCCGGCGCGCATGTATACACCAGTCATAGCAGCCCGCAGCTGTAGTACGTCCTGTATGGGGAGGGAAGCAGATCCCTGGAGCCTGCTAAGCTAACCAGCCAGTCTAGCCAATAGGCAATCTCTGGGTTCATTGAGAGAACCTGTCTCAAAAATAATGTGAAAAGCACTCAAGGAAGACACCTGCCATGACATCAACCTCTGTCCTCAACACATCCTCATGACATGTCATACAAAAACATGCACGCACACACACACACACACACACACACATACACACACACACACACACACACACACACACACACACACACGAGAGAGAGAGAGAGAGAGAGAGAGAGAGAGAGAGAGAATGTATACAGCCAATGCCATTTTGCTTCTCAAAGTGGTTATACCTACATGTACTGAAGAAGTATTTTGATATGTCCTGCCTTTATCTACACCAAGAGGTAATATTCACTATCCTGACTGTCTTTGCTATGATAAGTTACAAATGATTGCTCCTTATGGTTATCATTTTCATTGCTATGATTTGCTGATCAGACTGGACATCTTCACTAACTGCCCAGAATTTCTTCCTTTTAAATATCTATTAAGGTTTCTCCCATCCACTTTCTCAGTGGGTTATTTTTTTATTTCTATCTCTTAAGAAGTCATGTAAATTTAGTCATCTTGGAGAGGTCTAGCTACAGATCATTTTTTTGTCTTTGTATTGCACAATGTATTTTTAAATTATATTATGTTTCTGAAAGATGGAATTTTATTATGTTCAATATCTGAGGCTTGAAGAGTCTCCTAGAAACTCAAGACTCATCACACTGACCCATTCATTCTCATGCCAACCATCACCTAGCACTAAATTGCTCCACCAGATTCAAACAGGATCGGCTGTTCAAATGACAGCACAAGTGCCGTCGACCTGACGGACTCTGTTAAGGGGGTTATCAGGTCCCTCTGGGTGTTCACATTCATAGCTGTCCCAAAGTCATACCACTAGCTCTACCATGAACTCCTCTTGTCCAGTCACAGGGGTTGGCTTAGTGTTAGCTTCCAGGCTCCCTCAGACTGTGCCACACCACCGTGGTTAGCAAGGTGAGATGGAACAAAGGTACAAGACAATTAGAGTAATGATGAAAATTAACTGAGCACTCTGCTAAGCAATTTATGCTTACCCCTTCGTTAACTCTTTACAGCAATCTTGTAGGTTAGAGACTTCTTTTGTTCTTTTACAAAAAGAGAAGCAGAGCCATTGCGGCATTAACTGGTGTACCCAAAGTTACAGAGAGACCTTTGCACACAACAACTAAAAATACAAGACCAGGTATCAAAGACTATGAGTTTTTAAACCAATGTTCTATTTTGTTTGGAATTAGTCATGTGAGGATGCCATTTTCCCTGTTGGCCTTTGTCAGGTCATAGGCCTCTTTCACAGATGTCTGTCTCACTTAACAAAGCCTAATTTGAGGTTGCCTTTCAAAACCTTAAGCAATCCTACTGTCCACAGTTGAGACAAGGGAATGTTGGCCTTCCTGTACCCACCCTTGCCACTTCCTCCTTTCATTGAGCTTGGCAGAAAATAACCCTTTGTACTTAACCAGCAGTTCATTTTCAGTCACTGAGAGTAAGAATTACCATGTGCCACAGCTTTGTATGTGGAAGAGTGCTGAACAGAACTAAAAGTGGTCTATAATTATGGCTTCAGCCAAAAGATCATCAAGGGAAAATTGGCCCTGACTTGCTGAACCTCAGTTATGTCCCAGGATACTTTTAGAATCTATTCATGTCGTCTGAACTATGGTTCACATCTTTTTTTTTTTTTTTTGTAATATCTAGTTGGAATTATTTCACAGATAAACTGAATTTCTCAATACTTAGCTCATTTTAGCATCTCTATCCAAGATGAACACTAAGTATTATTGCTCATGTAAAACTCAAGATAGAACAGAGATGGCACACCATTCTCAGATGCATGTTCTGACTGTCTATAACTAGAAACCCCATCCAACTACTGAGGGATCTGGATGCAGAGATCCATGGCTAGGCCCCGGGTGGATCTCTGGGAGTCCAATTAGTGAGAAAGAGGAGGGTTCATATGAGCGAGAATTGTTGAGACCAAGGTTGGATAAAGCACAGGAACAAATAGCCAAACGAATGGAAACACATGAACTATGAACCAATGGCTGAGGGGTCACCAACTGGATCAGGCCCTCTGAATGGGTGAGACAGTTGATTGGCTTGATCTGTTTGGGAGGCATCCAGGCACTGGGACCGGGTCCTATGTTCATTGCATGAGTTGGCTGTTTGAAACCTGGGGCCTATGCAGGATCGCTTGGCTCGGCCTGGAAGGAGGGGACTGGACCTACCTGGACTGAGTCTACCAGGTTGATCTCAGTCCTTGGGGGAGGCTTTTCCCTGAAGGAAGTGGGAATGGGGTGTAGTTTTCCGCCAGCTCTGGGAGCCATCGTGGGTCTATGCTTTTATCCAAGCAGCGTGTAGCCCAGAAACCTCTTTTTTTTGTTTTGTACTACCAAAGGCTAAATCTACCACACAGCTTAATGTGCCACTTGCAGAGGCCTCATTCCCGCCATACTGCAGATCGAGCATGCACGCACGCTAGGAACCCGCCAGTAGCTCAAACCGGCAGCTGCCGTTCATTTGAGAGAGACAATTAGGAAGCTGTTTTTAGCTCCGTTTTAGAATCTTTTTTCTCAGGAAACTCTTGCCACCACGTTGGACGCCATTTGTAGATGTAACCAACGGTCTTATAAAATAAGAAACACAGAGCCAATTCAGAGAAGAAAGCCAAGAGGTCATGGGGGTGGGCTGGGGGGAAGGTGAGGGGGCCCGGAGGGGGGGAGAACAAGGGAATCCATGGCTGATATGTAGAACTGAATTGTATTGAAAAAAAAAATCCCTGAATATGTCCTGATGAATCCATAGTAGAATGTCTATCCACATCATCTGGTGCCAGCATTATCCTGGCCTCTCTGGACTCGTTGCTTAAAAAGAAAAAAAAGTCAAATTCCCACAGCACTCA